AATCACAAGACGAGAAACAGCCGGGCAGGGGAGGAGAAACATGTCAGAGGCTGCTGGGGTTATTATAGCAGAAGTGTTCAGTCTGAGGGTCGTCATGGAGACCTCTCACCTCGCTGATGAATCCGAGCTGAACCAGCTCCCCCGACAGGTCGTTCACGTTCTCATCTGAACAGATAGGCAGAATGATTTTTGTAACGACTGCATGATGCCAGTACCGTCAACTATCACATGACAGAACTCGGCCCTAATGAACGAAGCAATAAACAAAGAAACTCACTTGGTAACAAATCACAGCTCAGGTGCCTGTTCAGTTTATCCTCCAGTTTCAACAGCAAGGTCAGCTGCAAAGAGAATCAAAGAATCATTACAGAAGACATCAAAACATGAAACACTTTCATATACGACAAAATACTAAGAAGCAGAGACAGTTATCATTTATCAGAATTGAAACTCACATGGTGCTTGTTGCCCTCGTCAACAGGCTCAATATTGCACTGCATCTGGAGGACCTGTGAAGGAGAACAGTTTAATACAGGAAGTGCAGACTATGAAATTATTATGAAAAAGTATACATGGAAATTAAGAATGAAATGCAAATCAAAAAACGATTCACACTATGAGAAGCTTTTTTGTTATTTCTCTAATAATCAGCAATATGATTCGAGCAGAAATCTGACACATTGCTTACATCAAATAAAAGTAATGTACTAGTTCTTTCCCTTTAGGTCACAGTTAGGATTTGTAAATATGATATGACAGATCTGACCTTCCTGGTCTCCAGCTCAGCGGGTTCAGGGGTCGGGGTTTTCACAGAGGGGGGAACGATGGGTGACTTCACCGTCTCCTGCTGAGGCTGATGAGGACTCGGTACCCCAAACGCCGTCAGAGGATAGATCCCATTCCTTTTGCATCGAGGAAAATAAGAGAGACAACCTCAGGACGACTGAAAACGAGTTCATGCTGTCCAGCTGCAGGATATAAGTTAACGTTTTTCTGACCATGGATAATCATCCAACTACAAGAAGGTCCTATTTCTGTTCAGCAGAACAAATCAACTTTATTTATCACCTTTCATGCAGAGAATTGAGCACAATGACCTTTACAGATAGCAATACACTATTAACACAAAGAGGAAGGGACACATTATCTACAAATTGGAGAAGAATTTTAAAAGATTGAAAACAGAAAGCTAATAACTTTAGGTTTTGATATGAAGCTCAGCGCAAGTTCAACCAGGAAGACCTTCTTTTCTCATTCATTTACTATTTCTATGTTACTCTCTCTCCTCTCAATAAGTGATCGGGGGCGTCATTCTCCAGCTTAACCAATCACTTCGCTCTATTCCCACAAGCCTATCATAGCGCTCCGCTAAACCTTTTAAATCTGCTCTCCCCTCTGACAGCTGTCATTTCAGGTGTCTCAACGCAACCCTCCTCCACCTCTTTTCACCTCCTGTCCCTCTGAATCCAGGGTCAAGCTAAGCCCCTCCCCTTCAGACCGACCCCAACTATCCATTCACCACCACCAGGGTCAAGCTAAGCCCCTCCCCTTCAGACCGAACCCAGCTATCCATTCACCACCACCAGGGTCAAGCTAAGCCCCTCCCCTTCAGACCGAACCCAACTATCCATTCACCACCACCAGGGTCAAGCTAAGCCCCTCCCCTTCAGACCGAACCAACTATCCATTCACAACCACCAGTGTCCAGGGGGGTTTCATCGGATCGGTTCTCCCCTCCCGAATGATACTCCTGCACAACGGGGCCTAATCGCCAAAACTCCATTACATTCATTTGTGTATTCCTGGCAATAAATATGTATTCTTTCATCAAAACCGTCTCTCCCGATTGAAATGCTGTTAGATCAGCAAAGATGATTTCTAAAGACAGTGTTCCATAATGTTTTTTAGGCTAAAATGGTTAAAAGTAGGATCGGTGTTTCAGCGGCCTAAAAGATGAGCTTAGTGTTCAAGGAGAATCATATAACAAAAAGGAGTCTGTGCCAGTAAAAAGAAGCGAGGCCATTAGTGCCTTAAAGGCCCTGACTCTGCAGAAAAGCTTTGTTCCTACCTCACATCCTCCAGGAACTTGTCCAGCTCAAGAGCGGGGAACTGAGAGAGCCTGAAGCAGAAGACACAATGTTACTCAGCAAATCAAGACAACAAATATACACGTGTAAATATGAACAATCTATTGATTTCAGTGTGATAATATGAAGACAGCAACAACACAGGAACCCTTCTAAAGACTTCCTTCTCTCCCAAAGTTTTCATAAGTTTATCTCTGTACGTCCGCACTATGTGGTTCCACTCAGACTCACTTCATCTGAACTCCATCTTTGACTTCAACAATCACCAGGTTGGGGTCCATGTTCTTTGTCATCTCTTCTAAAGCATTTTCTGGAATCATATCTGCAGGCAAACAGAGAAGAGAGCGATCAGAAGAAGCATTCAGGTATTTTTATTACGGTGGTTTTCTGTGCAGGGTTTAAGTCCTAACAAAGTAAAAGAAAACAAATATCAAGTCACCATTGTTTGGAAAACGAATGACCTTCAAACAGATCATCTTCAATTCTTATTTGTGAACTCTGTATTTGGTTTGAACAAAATGCCAATAGCTGTATATTAAAGATATGAATTGCCAGTAATCAATCAGATGACACATGTTGTGCGTGTGTGTGTGTGTTTGGTGCGTGCGTGTGTGTGTGACTCACGTTGGTGGCTGACGATGCAGTGAGCAGCCAGCAGCTTCAGTAATGGCACCTCGAACAGGGCCTGGTGAAACAGCAGCTCCTTAGCGGTGGGCCGCTTGCTGGGGTCCACCTCCAGACACTTCTGGATAAATTCCTGGGAAATCAGCGGGGGAATATATCTTTAAGTTATAGATTTACAATCCAGACAGCTATACAGGCTCTTAATACTTGTGTATCTCTCACTCACCCGCTGCAAAGGGTCCTCTAGCATCTGAATGGCATTGTTTATGGCTTCTTGGGACACATAAGACGAATCTCCGTTACTCTGGATTTCCAACACAGCCATCTGAAGGAGTGACCGGACAGAGAAGGGTGGTGATTGGAAGTGATTCATAAATAAAAACAAGTCAACAGCAGCCAATGGTCATCCCTGCAGACCTGAGAGTGTCTTTTAAAAGTCTGAAGGGTTCAAAACAGCATTTCCAACTAATTCAGTCGTCGATTCGTTGGTGACGTCATCACGTGTGTTTTACGCGCCGTTAAGTTCCAACGTTATCGGTCTTTTTATCGGTACTGGAGACATTTTAAAAATATATGTATTATTGCTACATAAACATTATATCGCAATTTTAGTGTCGCCAACTCGTTTCTAACATGCAAAAAGACAAAAGAAAATGCGTCTATGATGTATTTTCGATCTTTCCAATCCAGACGAGAGATCTCTCAGTTTACATACGCGGCTGCTACATGCAGCAACACACACGCGGCTGCTACATGCAGCAACACACACGCGGCTGCTACATGCAGCAACACACACGCGGCTGCTACATGCAGCAACACACACGCGGCGGGGATGGCGGAGATAACTAAGCGCTCCAAGGTGTGGTTAAACGTCTCGATGTGGACAATGCTCGTTGCCAATAGTGCAATAAGAGTTTAGCATGTAAGGGCGGTAACACGAGCTATTTGTCTAAACATTTAGCAAAAGTGCTCCACATCCAGACGGAGGAATGCACTGACTGTCTTTCTAGTAGCTCTGTAGCCCCGTCCACGAATAACGTTTCCACGCCAGGTGTTATGTATGCTAGCAGCAACACACAGAGTTAACTCAATGATACAAACATGGGTTAATGATTAGAGGTAACAGAGTTATTTATTTTGTTAAAGTTTCAGCTATTTCTTTTGATGTGAAAATATTATTTATTTAATTAATAAAAAGCAATGTTAATTTTGTTCAAAATGTGTTTCGTTAATTTAATAATATATGTATTTTTGAATCAAGTATTCATCTTTATTGTTTTCATTGTTAGTTTCCACATGCCTAAAACAACCTCAAGCTAAATCTAAAAGTCGATGGCTAAATAAGAGCGTTTGAGAAATTGTGCAAGGCATACAGTAATAGTCCGAATAGTCGATTAATGGTTTCATTAATCGATAGATTCATCGATTATCAAATGAGTTGTTTGTTGCAGCCCTAATCCTGATTTCTATTTCCGTAACTACAGTAAAAGGCAAACTGTTGAAAGCTGGGGTGACATTTTTGTTAAGAATAAATTGTTACATACGACATCAGAGCAATCAAATACATTTTCCATAAACAAAGAATGAGCCACTGGTTTCTTCTCACCTCTAAGGCGCACATCCCAAAGGAATAGATATCCACGGCTGTGGTGACATTGGCAACAGCTGGAAGCAGAAAACCAAACTGATCAAAATCACTCTCTGATATCTTTAAAAAGACCATTTTGAAGAAGAGTTTCTTAAAATAATAAATATCATTTTAATAATTTTTTTTTTTTAGTTTAACCATTTCACGGATCCTCAGAAACGGCCATATCTTTGTGAGGAGAAAGGTGAATGTGCCACATGAGCTAAAAATGAAGTTACAGGTTGTCGTACACTAAGAAGAAAATGAATGACTGAACAAATATGTGAAAATATGAAAGCTGCCCATTTTATGAATTGTTATTTCATGCGTTTACCTTTATTTAAAAATTGTCGTTGGCACACATGTTGGTTTTTGCACTGTATTGTATATTCATTACTAATCACCTGTTGATGTTATGAATTGTCTGTACTGCTTAAGCACAGAGATGGGAAAGATGTGCAACACATTTCCCACGCCTGGCTGCAAACCACGGTGTAACCAGACACTCTGAACAGACAGGATCCTTCATGAGAAACGTCTTACCTCCATACTCCGGAGCAAAGAAGTGGAGGCTCTTCTGCTCTTCCCGACACGTTTTCACGTGGTTGTTGATGGTGTCTGGAGCAACTGAAACGGTGGAGAAAAACCTTAATAACAAGACAGCTAATACAAAACCTAGTAGTACTAATAATAATAATAGTAGTAGTAGTAGTGAGGGCATCTGTAGTAAAAAAACAAGAATTGCCAAGAGGGACGTAACCCTGGCTTTACACTGTGCTGATCTTAGAGATGGAAACGATCTCTACCTGAGCCGATCTTGATGAGGCCGTTGTGCTGGATGAAGATGGTGTCACAGGTCAGGTTGCCGTGGATGATGGGAGGTTCACAGGAGTGCAGGTAGCTGGAGACGAGCCAACGAGCGTTAAGTCAACAAAACAACTGCTACCACAAGAAAGAACATCGCCAAGGTAAAAACCATATATGGGCATTTGGACAACAGCCAATGCCCCGTATTACAATGTATTCTTTGGAACTACGTAGCTCAGAGAAAATAACGTTTCTGTTCTTCTTACCTAAGGGCAGACAGTATCTGTGTGCACCAGCGCTTCCAGGCCTGACAGACAGGAAATAGATCAGAGAACATTTAAGAGAATGAAAAATGTGTAAGACTGACTTGTCCGCAGCGTTTCCCAGTAACGTCATTTACAAATGTATGGGGGAGTCACAGAGAAGCTTTCAAACCTTTTCATTCATGGTCTTGTGGTTTTTCTTCGTCTTTTTCAAAAACTGCTTGAGACTTCCAGAGGACATGTACTCAGTGATGAAAATGACCTGCAGGCAAGTCAAAGGAATGAAAGCAGATCAACGTTAAAGCCATAACACTCATTTCATATGATTTAATAAAACTCATTTCAGATGATAACCCACCCTCGCTCTGTTCTCTTTGACGTCCGCCCAGTACTTGTGAAACTTCACAATGTTCAGATGCTCCAGCTGGATCAAATTGTCAAAAACTGCTTTGACTTTTTCCTAAAAACAAAAGCAGAAAATATGTCATTAGAATTGGAGTTTATACATGTCACATTTCCACAGTAACATTTAACATCTATCTTGTCAAATGTAATGTTTCCAAAGATGCCACATGAGCTCATCATGTCTTCAAATAGAATAGTTATAATGTCCTTGCCTTCTCTCTAGCAGCAGGTTGGACTAAAGGTCAAACAGACTGTCTTGTAAGGGTCAAGGTCAAATAAATGTTGACAGCTGTGAACGAGCGTCCATTAAAAGCAGCTCTGGGTCTTGCTCTTTACTTCAGAGAAGTCCATCAGCTGTTTCATTTCTATTAAAGGGTTTATTAAAAGCTAAACTAGACTGAGGGCACCATTCTCTTCCAGTCATAAGCATAATGAAACACAAAAGCCGCATGATGAAAACAGTCTTGCAACAACCTCTGTGTTTTTAATCAAAAAGGAACAACAGACTAGATCGGATGGCATTAATGGGGCGAAGCCTGCGAGCTAGTTCAGGCAGTCAACTCGAGCACCAATCATACATTAACACGTGACGCACCTCGTCCCTCTTACAACCAATCAAACACATTCTCCTAAACATGGCGCTCTATTTAAGCTGCCAGGTCTTCCTGCCTCTGCCTTGCTATGCTGCTGCTGCACTGCAGTGTTCACTTGCTATTGCTATGTTGATGTTGCTGCTGCTGCTCGCCTGCCCCCCCACCACCACCCCACATTCCACCTGTAGGCTCGGGGGGTAGTTATCTAATCATCACTCAATGTTCTTATCCAAATCGTGCACGTTCCGTGTTGTCCTGTAGCAGGCACCGCCGATGTCGGGGAAACGATCTTCAATACTCCGAGAAGAATCCCACCAGACTCATTTGCCCCTCCACCAGAGGGATGTCCTTGTCCCTATTCGTTATTTCAAGCGATAAAAACTCTCGATCTTCTCTCGAATTATTAATATTTTTGAACGCCCTCGACTCGCCTTCAGGGCGTCCCGAGCTGAATAAGGGCGTCAAATGACGGAAAGACGGCCCCCTGGCGGAAACGCTGGGCCCGAGCCTAGATGCTAAACTCAAACTATGTGCAGCTTAGAATAAACATATTAAGAAACACGTGAGTTGTCCGACTGAACTCAACCAAGATAAGGGTGGGTTAACAGAAACCACTTCAGAGTATTGCAAAACCACCAAAACAAATGAATAGATGTCAAAGAGTTTACGCAAAGAAGAAAAATGTTTCTGCCTCTACTCAGCTTACAGTGTGTGTATGTTGCTATGGTGCTGGCAGCAACAAGTCTGACCACTTGCCAAAGAATCTTAAGCCATACGGGGGGAAATGAAAATCAGTAAGCCGCGATATTGTTTTGAGTTCACAGTGGGAAATGTAACCTCACACAAAGAAAGCACAATCATCCTAACCTTATCAAAACACTGGACTCCCCTGTCCTCTAGTTGACATAACATTGTGGACATAACTGCTTCAGACACGACTGAATACGTCCTCACAGCGCTGCACCCACCTCCTGTAGCTTGAAAATCTTCCTTTCTGAGAACATGACCTCATTCCACACCACCTCCACTCCTTCCTCAGTGTCCATGGCCAAGTAAGCATTGTCGATCCCAGGGACGTTACGCTGATTCACCTAAAAGAGGAAAACAAAATAATGCATCAGGCTCACAGGTTTTATTTTGATAGCCAACATGTAGGTTCAAGCTACGCTTACAGTCAGCAAAAACAGAAGTCTAAAGTGTGAAGCCGTTTTCATTGCTTTCACACAAAATGCACTCAATGACCACCGATGTTTGTTTTTAAAATGTGTTTTATGTCTTATATTCATGTTGCATTGTTGGAGGAGCATGGGACTTAAGATTGTCATTGCTATATCAACACTGTGGCTACTGTGCATGAAAATAAAGCCTTTGAATATTTAGTAAAGGTAAACATGAGCCCTCTTCAGATTCGTCCCATACCTCTTCTCTGCGTTTCTGCCAGCGTCCACAGGGGCTTTCCTCTAAAATCTCCGACTCATCCTCACTCTCCTCTTCCTCATCCTCGGTGGCAGCAGTGGCTGGAGGATGGGAGACCATGGACACCGGGGGAGACACGGTCTGACCTGCGGGAGCAGCTGACTCGGTCTTCACTTCCTGGGCTGCAGAGTCGGAGGCCTGCTTGTTATCTCCCTCTGACATCTTCTTGGTTGTTGTCAGGCCCAACAGCCAGCTGTAACACAACAAGATACACCCAAACACAACATCATATTTAATACACACACTGACAGCTGATGAAGTAAAAAAAACACAAAGTGGCAAATACATCGCAGTGCAAAGCTAGCTTGAGGGCAATGGTGTTCACTTGGTGGGTGTAGCTGCAGCAGAGCAACAACCTTTGCAACATAAGCTTAATTAGCACTCTACAGTAAATGACATTATTAATTCCATCACAATTATAAGTAGAAGAAGCACATACGTTTTAAAGACGGGAAATATACCGATGCCAGCTCCAGTTTAGCAGACTTCCTCCGGCGCAGACCAATCCCAGCTTGTTGTTTTGTTAGCTTTGTTAGCAGAGCTAGCTTTGCGATGATGCTAGCTCCTTGTTTAACTAACTGTACACTGACAACATGTAACAACGTTCACTGCCGGCGCTTTATTCACTTATATTAATATCTCTCGATGTGTCAATTGGTCGCCAGCTAGCTAGCTTTAGCAGCCCTTGACTGCTCCTCAAGACTCCGGCTAATGTGCGCTCTCAAAATTAGCCACCGCTAATGTCATTAAAACTACACAATTTTACCACAGCGCCTAACCTAGACACGTCCACTGATTAATAACATGACTACAGTTAACATACACCCGACAGGGGAAACAAAGGGAGGTTCAATCTATCGTTAACTCTATATCCTCGGACAATCACGACTGACTGACTTAAGGTTAGCTTAGCAGTAAGCCAAATATGATGGCGACAACTTCCAGATGCAAACTGCACTACCAGTGAGGTTGCCAGATAGGGATAGTCCCATCCTCCTTCTGAGGTGTTCAATTTATTTATAATAATATTAATAATCATAGCAACAGCATGCAATACTTTGTTACTAGGCTTGATGTATGGTAAGCCGATTTAGCTTTTATTCATTTCTGGAGGATATCAATAAATCTATTCTTACTAGTAATAATGTTTATTTCTGATATCAAAAATAGAATTTGAACTAGTAAGAATGCAAATTCTTGATATCAGAAATTCAATTGTAACTGGTTGTAATGTGTATTCTTGATATCTGAAATGCGATTTTAACTAGTGAGATTTGCATCGTTTTTCTCATTCATTTCAATGGGAGTTGGAATTTGAACTAGTTCAAATGCCAATTTCTGATATCAGTAATTCAATGGTTGATATCATAACAATTATAACTAGTTATAATTGAATTCCTGATATCAAAAAAGGATTTGGAACTAGTTGAAATTGCATTTCTGATATAAAAAATTGGAATTTGACTAGTTGAAATTGAATTCTTGATATCAGAAATTGGTATTGTTACTAGTTCAAATGTAATTGTAACTAGTAACGATTGAATTACTGATATCGGAAACTAGTTCAAATTCCAACTCCCATTGAAATGAATGAGAAAAACGATGCAAATCTCACTAGTTAAAATCGCATTTCTGATATCAAGAATACACATTAACTAGTTACAAATGAATTTCTGATATCAAGAATTTGCATTCTAACTAGTTAAATTCAATTTTTGATAACAAGAATTTGCATTCTAGTAAGAAATGATTTTTTTATATCCTCCAGAAATTAATAAAAGCTAAATCTGCTTGCCATATTGATGTGTAATTTATGCGTGTCAATGGGTGTAGGTTATTGTTTCTTGGCATATAAACTGGCCTACAATTAAAAAAAATTCAATTAGAAGAAAGATTCCTTCATCAAGAAAATTATTAACTTTTTGTGGAACTCAGAATAAAAAAACGCATTGCATACAGCTCGAGGAAATGTCATTCAATATAACTTTGTAATAAGGTTATATGGAAGTCCATTCATGACAGCGAACATTTTTTTGTATAAATGTAAAGCAACCCCTGTGAACTGAATAGCCAGGGTGAAAATAAACATCTTGAACCATAAAGCTGGTTTCTTTCAAACCTGGCAACCCTCCTCTCTACAGCCCCCCTCTTCTTATTTGATATGAGTCTGGATTGACAGACAGTCAGGCCAACTGAATCCTGAAATATGACGACTGGTGGGACAGGTCTGTTATAAAACACCATTGAAAAGGAACAGTCAAGGCGTTTGTTTTGCCACTAGGTGTCAATATTACTCGAAATGCATCATGTTTGGAGTAATTATGATACAGTGCTTGTCTTTTGCGTTAAAATAAAATCAAGTAAACTGTTCAAATATCACATGTGTTGCTAATTAAAAGCACAATAATTATATCATTATAGCAAATTGGTATTTCAGTACACAAATCTAGATAGGCCTACATACCGAGACACAAGGCAACATCGTTTTTTAATGCACAGCAATTTTGAGTTTTGCAATTTAAGAGTAGGCCTACCATAACATGTCTTCTTTCCTACTAGTGTAAACAATCTTCCCTTCATACACATAGTAGTGTTAATTCTACTACATGTCTCAGGTAACAACCAGTCATATTTTCAGTTTGATGTATAGATTTTTGGAAAGCCACCTTTATCAGCACATTGAAAATGTATTAGGGTCCCTCTTAAGGAGCCTCCTCCCCTCCTCTGAAGAGGCCTATATATAGGTGCAGCCATCAGCAGACGCACAACAGAGACTGTGGGTGCTGGTGGAGTGAAAGTGGTGAGTGTACATGAGTAGTGACAACATTTACAGCAAAATAAGGAACTAGAAGTGATCATCAGAGTCAGGGAGGACACAGGAAGTCTCCTTGGGCTGTTTTGCAAGTCCATGCTCTGTTACTGCCAGTAAGGAGTTTTTTTTGCACTTTATAAACTGATTTTGAAAAACAGGAACTGGCCTTTGCTGACAATATGGGGGACGAGCAACATAGAGAGCCTGTTATTGAAGATATACAGGTGAAAGTGCTTTATGAAAATGAAGCATCATCTGGGCCCGATGAGAAGGCTGCCTACCCTCCTGTTGGAACTAACTCCATCTACTCTGCCATTCTGAGCCGAAACGAGGCTGTCAAGGATGCCACGCGACTAAAGACCTTTTTGGAACTTCGAGACAAATACGTGAAGAAGAAGGTGGTGTTTGAAGACCCCCTGTTTTCTGCAAATGACTCCTCACTCTTTTACAGTCACAAACCCACCATGAAGATTGAGTGGAAACGTCCCTCGGTGAGTGCCAGACTTTAGTATCAGGTTAATCTTAATGTAAAAATTTCTTTGACATGTTGGGAGAGATATTTTCTAAATCCCTGTGTATCTCACCACTTCCACCACAACACATGGCTGGGGTGTCATGTGGCTGCATGCTGTGGTGGATGCATAGCTCTGGGTTGTCACCTTCTACAATCTCAGACAGCTGACTGTCACACAGTGCTGGGAAACATCGTGGGAACTCAATGCTGGCTTTAGAGTTTCATATTTTTCTGATTGCGCTAGCAGCAGCTTTATTAATTCTGCCAAAAGTCCTGCTGTGACTGGCATGGCTACTTTTATATGTAAACTTGAACATTCACATTAACCAGTCAAAGCTATATCAGTACAGCAGATTTAATACATTTTCAACAAAAGTAAACTAAACAACGGACAATCAAATGAGGCAATGATAGATGAATGAGACAACACAAACCATATCTTAATTAAAAGCCATGCTAAAAAGACATTTCTTAAGTCTTCTATAAAAATGTCCACGGCACCTAACAAACTGACACAGATCCAAACAGTAACGTGAATGCAGACACAACAAATGACCCAAACCTTAACAGAATACTTAACACTTATGTTGCTTGATTGCTTAGTGATTAGTGATGAATGGTTAGTGATGTATGTTGTTTTTTGCCTTACCGTTTAAATTGGTGATACATGATTCCCTTCAGGGGGTCAACAGTAGAGCACGCTCTAAATTCGGAAACATGAGGTGGCATTTTCACAGCCTTAGTTATGGTGAATCGTTTGATGAGGGAAACAGATTCCCTGCTGGAAACCCCCCTGATATTTCGTGAGTTTAAAAGTGCTAAACTTTTTTTTTTGCTCAAGTTTTGTGTGTTTTTTAGTTAATCAAAAGTTGTTTCAAAAGCTCTTTAAGTAAAATTACTCCCATGTTCTTGGCTTGGGATGCCTCTTCATAAATTGTGTGCATGAGAGGGTGATTTATTCTGCTTCATTTGAAAATGTCTATTCCTATCCAACATTACACAAGGAATAACGGCATTGAATATAAGCATAATTTGTGTAGCATAAATATGTTTTCCCTCTTATTCTTTTCATCATTTGGTGACAATCTACAGGATACCATGTAATCTTCCAACATAAAATCAAACAATGTGCTCTAAAAAAAATTCTAACCGGTAGTATTTATACAGAAGGCAAATGTTGAGTCAACCATAAAATCCATAATTGGTGTCTAAAAATAAGATGCATGATGAATCATTTCCCGTAGGACCACAAACAGTCAGACACTTGGTTTTGACAGGTTTGTATTTATGATCTGAGGGCGTTTCTGCAGGCAGCACAACGTTATCACTAAAGAGGTCGCGACCAGCAGACCTCCAGCAGCTGCTTCCTCCTGAATGTGCAGCGAATGTAGCCAGAGAAATCTCTCCAACTCACTCTCAGTTTCGGGGTCCTCATGTTGTCGATCATTGCAAATACAGTTTTTAAATCGTTGCAGAGTTTAATATTTCACCTGATAGGCCCAGAGTTAATTGCCTTTGTTACAGAGGGGGTGCAAAACCAGGCAGCGAAAACACTAGCTCTGCCTGATTTAGAAGCACTCCTTTAATTTTTTACCTGATTCAACACCTCAAAATCAATAAAGAATTTGCAACATTTTGGTTTGAACGAGGATCTCAATCTGTCCAAGTATAATAAAAAAAGCAATCTGACCTGTCATCCGACAGATTTCAATGAATATAACATGTCAAGTATTATACCCAGCTTTGTTAAAGGCATAATTAAATAGTTTAACTACATTTTCTATTATTACCATAAAGAGTGCATGTTATATTGCAAGACATCTTCATTTGGATATCAGACTAAAAACACACCAAAACATTTATATTTTCCCATGTTATAAATATTTGATCAATATATTTAGGCTTTTGAAATGTATGACAAAAAAAGGCGCTGATATTTCCCAACTTGCTCAGAAATACTTCTTAACACTTGCTTTTTTTTCTATGACAGGAAATATGTGACGACCCCCAGTTCATTGTAGATGGAGCCAACAGGACAGACATCTGTCAAGGAACATTAGGTAACTCTTAAACAATTTCTAATTTCCAACAAGTGGAAGAAAAGCACTTGATTTAGTCTTTCGACACATAAAATAGCCCATCACACTGATCTCCCAGCCTCTCTATGGGGCACACACATAGGCATTTGTTTTCCTTAGTTAAGCCTACATGTTCACAGAAACAAGAATTGAAGAGCAAGAGCATGGAGAAGGGAGAAAGAAAGAACACATTCATCTAATTTTGGATGGATGTTTAAGAAAAAGTTGTGCAAAAAGTCAATTGTGTCTCAGCCAAGCAAAAGCAGTGCCGTTGTTTAGGAAAATACAATATCTATAAAATATACATTACAGCTTAGACATGGGTGGAAACTGGAGCCTGGAACACTGCAGCTGAAATGACCATGAGATTGAGTCCTAATTTAGTCACCTCACTGATGTTGCTTTATGAAGTTGTACCTTAGGATCAAGTGTTTCTGCAGCTCTTAAATCTTCTGTTGACAGGTGACTGCTGGCTGCTCGCTGCCATCGCCTGCCTCACTGTGAACGAGAAGCTGCTGTACAGAGTGATCCCCCCCGACCAGAGCTTCACCGAAAACTACGCCGGCATCTTCCATTTCCAGGTTTTAAATGGATTTTTGACCCACTGTGTAAAAAGCAACTGAGCTTTCATCTTCTGACAGATAGTCTCAGAAGATAAAGTTTAAATAATAAAAAACATTTAAACCAGGGACAAGACATGATGTGCAAAACATAAACTTATTACACTGAATTATTTTGCATAGGTTAAACATCAAAACACAACATAGCTTGAATGCTAATTTCCTTCATGGTCCTTCATTTTAAGACAATAAAAACACAGCAGATAATAAAATATAAAATTGAAAGTTAAGGGAAAAATCAACAAAATATAAACCATTAAGAATATTCAAAGTAAGAAAATTCGAAAATTCGAAAAAATGACGAAAACATATTTACGCATTCAAATAAAAAACAAATAAAAGTTGATCAAATTAGATTAAAATTGACAGGAGTAACATGACCCAAACGTTGTTTTAATTATGTTTTTTAAGTGTTACATCTCACACATGAAAAGTGATATTTCTTTCAAATTATAAAGAAAGAAAGTATCTAATAAAAACACATTTTAGTTTACCTTTGCTAAGAGATGGCGGGAGATCGATCTGTCTCTTCATTGACTTTGTTTTGAATCTGTTAATTTTTTTACTCAGCTGTGGCGTTATGGAGAATGGATCGATGTGGTGGTGGACGACCGTATCCCCACCTGCAACAACCAGCTGGTCTTCACCAAATCTTTCAGGAAGAACGAGTTCTGGAGCGCTCTTCTGGAAAAAGCTTATGCCAAGTGAGTGCAGTCTATCAGCTTTCCCTAAAGTGAAAGAGTCGTGCAGCTTCAACGTTATATCTTAATAATGTTCATTCTTTCAGTAGAGTTCAAACAAGAGGATCGACACGTGAAACCACTGACCTCTCACCCTGCTGTCATAATATTTCTTCAACCAATTTCAAACAAAACAAGTTTTAAGATAACAATTTCACCTAAATGTCCCATTAAGGTCTATAGCTTTCTGCAGTGTAGCGACAGTTACGTGGCACATCACTGCTCTGTCCTCATGTTTCCCAAATTTGCTGCAGACCCTGTAAAAAAATCCAAAGCTCGTAAAGAACAGATGTAGAGAGAGCAGAATGACTGATCTCTCTCTCTCAGGTTGCACGGATCGTATGAAGCCCTTAAAGGGGGCAACACTTTGGAGGCCATGGAGGATTTCACCGGAGGGGTTACAGAGTACTTTGAGTTGTCTGAAGCCCCCAAAGAGCTCTACAGCATCATGAGGAAGGCGCTGGACAGGGGCTCGCTGATGGGCTGCTCCATAGATGTGAGTGGTGAGGAAAGTATGGGAAATAAGGGCACAGGAAACAGAGAAAAGTCACTCAAACATTACAGGGACACCAAAGCAAGATGCAACAACACAACTGACTGAATTATGTAAATCAATTTAGTGGTTTTCCTTTTCCTGTAGTGTGTCATATAAGTTTTTTCCCCCCGTCACCCCAATTGGACACATTTGTTTATTTCCATAACACAGTGGCATCCCCATGTAACACTCGCACTAGCGCTCCAACACATTGTACGTGATAGGCTAAGAGGTGGGACATCGCCAAGCAGTTTGACCAATCACAACAGAGCCGGCCAGCTAACAAATCAGAGTTGGAGGAACCCTATAAAAAAAAAACGCGGATACATTTATTTTCATAAATTAGCATGTATATAGAGTGCTTTCCCAAATTATGAGAAGCTAAAAGTAAGTTCAAAGTAATTGTATCAATATTTTTAAACTTTGAAATCAAATCCAGAATAAATTACTGTATTAAAATGATGTTTTAACAGCATGTACTTATCCATGTCCGATGTGTTTTTTTCTCTGACTTGTGTATCTTTCAGATCACTTCAGCCAATGAGATGGAGTCTCGGACTGAACAGGGTCTGGTCAAAGGTCATGCTTACTCCATCATAGGCCTGGCAGAGGTGAAGTATAATGTCCACCCACTATGCTATGAAGTCAGATTTTATATTCTTGGTAAATTAAGGCATGTCAAAATGATGCTGCCCGATAAAATGTTGTTTTTAGTGTGACGAGGTGGCAAAGGATACCAAGATTCGCCTGATTCGCTTACGCAATCCCTGGGGCTGGGTGCTGTGGAAAGGACCATGGAGTGCAAAGTAAGATTATATCTAGGACATGGGAACTTTTATTTAACTGTCATATAACATCTGCAAATCATTCTGATGTAATATGGCTTATTCTTGTTGTGTATTACATTTGTTTTCCAGTTCAAAGGAATGGTCGACCATTTCCACGGCTGAAAAGGAAAACCTAAAAAAACAGACTGTAGAGGAGAGTGAGTTCTGGTGAGTAAAACCACAGTTTTTCACATTCAAGCCTTTTGCCATTTATTGACTGTAATCTTAATAAACAGATGCTAACACACATTTCTTGCAAGTTATAAAAATGTATATTAAAATCATAACTTTACACTGTACAAATGAATGGATGATATTAGTTCTTTCCATTAGCATGTTAGCATCTGGCTCAAGTCAAATCTGAACCGTCACTTTTTTCAAGCCACACCGGCTGCAAAGACAATAAAAAGGTTATTTCCATTTTCATCATATCAAATTCTAAAGAACTTCCTTTTGTCTGTTCGACCTCTAGGATGGCTTTTGATGAATTCAAGAAGAACTTCACAAAGCTGGAAATGTGTAATCTGACTCCCGACACCTTGCAGTGTGAGGAGAGGACCAGTTGGACAGTGTCGGTCAACGAGGGTCGCTGGGTGCGAGGCAGCTCTGCCGGCGGCTGCAGGAACAACAAAAGTAGGCCTTAATGTTTCCAAAATATTCCTCTTAAAGCCAATAAGTTGGGCGTTGGGGTTGGTTTTAAAAAAAATAATGGCCGCCTCACTACAAATGTTCCCGCTTATTACATGGGCACATGCTAAATAATCAAACAACTTGACTGCTAATAATATTTGAAATTGTTTTATTGACTTAAAAATGGCTGGAACTGCGGGAACAACTTAAAATGAACGGCAGCACTGATTGAAGTTTTCTGTAACTTTCCAAGTCAGTTCACAGTTTCTCTTCCAATAAAACGCCCTGAACAGTGCACAGCCCATACCGTGTTCCAGGGGCGCACCAGGCAACTGCTTTGGGCCCCGGACCAGAAGGGGGCCCCCAAAGAAGGTAGATTAAGAAGGTCCACAGCAACGACAACATGAAACACCCTTTAATGAACTGCAACGACATGTATGGTAACCCCCTCAAGGGGTCCCAATGCATAGCGCGCCGTCAAAAGCTCATAATTTCAGTTGCGCTGCTCCGCTCCGGGGGTGGGGGGGGATCTGACTTGACCAATCAGAATCGAGTATTCAACTAAGCAGTTTAAAAAAGATCAATATCTTTCCCACCTGGATCTTGTGTTGTCACTGCTTTCATGTGACCACTTGTAAATGTGAATATACTTGTTGTGTTTCACAGACACTTTCTGGACGAACCCTCAGTATCGGTTGCAGCTGTCCGAGGAGGACGACGACCCTGAGGACCGCCAGGCGGCCTGCACCGTGGTCGTGGCTCTGATGCAGAAAGGTCGCAGGATGCAGCGCCACCAAGGGGCCAAGTTCTTCACCATTGGATTTTCCATCTACGAGGTACTGATCACAAAAAAACAAAACCACTGGATAAGCAGATGTGCATTCAGCGGGTTCAATATCTTCTTCTTTGTCTCTGCAGGTGCCCAAGGAGGTACGGCCATCCTGAAAGAGGACGTTAGTTTGATGATGTCCACAGTATCGGCCTGTATTTCCAGAGATTTGAGTCTGTGTGTGTTTGGGTTAGCAGTTCATGTCGTAGATAAGCAGTATATAGCTCTTGTGAAACCTTAATGTACACGTGACATCACAAGCCAAACTACTTTATAATAATTTACAACACTGACTTAAAGTCATTTATTTATTTGATTATTTAACCGTTTAGTCAACAAAAAGTTATAAAATAGTGAAAATGCCCTTCCTATTTCCCAGAGGCCAGTCAAACTGCTTGTTTCATCCATTGTAGTTCTTAATTTTAATTGAATGTATCCTTTATTGAGCTAGGAATTATTAATTTAATGTATTTCATACTTTCAATCCTAAACGTAGGATCTTTGATCTTTTTTGTCTCAATTCCCTCTTTTTGAATGATCCATTTCCGTAAATACCTTTTCTGTTTTGACTGCTTTTCTTATTTGAAGAGTTTATTCCCATCCCACCATCTGATACATCTCCTCCCATAGATGCTTGGACAGAATCAACACCTGCAGAAGGACTTCTTCCTGTACAACGCCTCCAAAGCTAAATGTAAGACCTACATTAACCTGCGCGAGGTGACGGAGCGCATCCATCTTCCTCCAGGAGAGTACGTCATCATCCCCACCACCTTTGAAGCCCATCAGGAGGGGGAGTTCATCCTCAGGGTCTTCTCTGAGAAGCAGAACATTACCGAGTAAGTATCACTCAGGGTGGCATATTTTGGGGATTGTTGACAATTGCAAATATAAGGTCTTCAAGTGAAAGGTCATTCAAGGACTAAAAGGAATCTTAATGTGTTTGTTTTTCCTCACAGGGAGGAGGATAGCGTTGGGTCTGACAAAACACAGGTTCGCAAAGTGTTTGAATAGTGGGGTTGTAGATATGTCTTGATAATTCAGTGGTGAAAAGATTAAAAACAAAAGAGTAGGTTCACCTTTTATGTCTAATTATTCTGACATGGTTTTAATCACTTCTAGGGGCAAGTTTATATGTTGGGATTGTGATTTTATTAGAGGACACGGTATATAAAATATGTTTGAAGGGGATACTTTCTTTTACAACACACTTGAATTTTTTTTAACTTTATAAGACATTTTAATTGAAAGAGAATCAGACGTAACACAACTTAAGGATAGGATAGAGATAATGATATTTTATTATTAAGTTATTAAGAAAAATACACAAGCTCCCAGCTTCCCAAAGGAACATTTGAAATTAATTCCCAAACAAAGCATCCTTTCCTACTTCCTTTTTAAAAGGCCTACTGCCTGAAACACACTGAAATATCAGTTTGCATTTCATATTTTCTAAACCCCAACTGTGTAACACATATTTAATCAACATTGTTTTCTCAAACTATTTGTCATCTCCAAATTCACACTCTACTCATTGTTTTCCCACAAAAATAACTAACTGTCATAAGTGTTTTCCTCCTTTTCATCTCATTTCATCCTTCTGTCCTTCCTTGTGTCATTGGTCATCAGCAAGACACGAAAAAGAAGGAGAAGGTAATGCATGCATGTGTCAAAAGCATTGCTAGATGGCTATTTAAACTCTGCTTTATCCACTGCTTCACTCCTGCTACTCTCCATTATGTCTGCTGTTTTAAATGTTTGTGCCATTATCGCAGAATAAAACCAGTGGAATAACTATAAATAACTCTCTCTTTTCTGTTTGTCTTTTTTTAACCCGTCTCTCCTCTTACTAACTAATTTCCCATGCCAGCCTATTGTATTTGTGTCAGACAGAGCAAAAGCCAACAAAGAAATCGAGCATGACGGCATTCGGGGAGAGAAGAAGAACAAGAAGCCCAAGGTAATCTCCTGGTTTTAGGACACAAACGTTGACACTGCAGACACACAGCTAAGAGCTGGTAGTTACTCATTTCTGGAGACTGACGGCTCTGACATGTGCTCTCGGCCAGGTCAAATAACCCCTTTGAGAATTAAACAATTGAGAGTGGGGCCAAATGATCTCAAGTGTCTCCGCTGCACCTGTTTCTCTGTGAGGCCTCAGGTTAGACGGGCCGAGCTGTTTATGTTTATCCAATGGGTGGCTTTCCTGTGCTACGGGAAAGCATCCAGAGCTTAAACGTCATAAATGTAGTGTTATATATAGAGCAACACGAACACATTAAACACATCGTTTTAATGTTTCAAGATAACTGAGAACTCAAAAGTTATCGATAGGAAAAGTAGTCCTATTTGTGCAATATTTATTTAAGAATCTGGTCAAATCATCTCTGAAAAACGACATTGCTCTACTGTTCTGTTATATTCAGTAATGTCCTTATCCAGCACATGGAGGTAGTCAAACCTTTTCCAATTTACACCAAAACCACCTCACAGTAACATATTTGGGCCAAAAATCATGTTCATTCTTATTTTGCAAAAGACATTCCTATTTGACTGTCAATATCCACGAATGAATGTTACATTTACGGCGTAGGTTTTATTACTTATTGGTAGCATGTGTCTTTAGTTTTTTTTTGTGTGTCTTTACTGTTGTGTTATGAGTGTTTGCTGTTCTGTCATGAGCAAACTAAAGCAGATTGAATATGGCGATGAAATATTGGACCCTTATCATCTTAAGAAATGTACTTCTTTCTCACGTGGCCCTCAGATAAATCTACTCCAAGAAGAGGAGGAGACTGAGGAGGAAAAAAGGTTCAGAGCCATTTACCAAACGATTGCTGGAGATGTGAGTACAGGAAGGATAAAACAGGCAAGACTTGGATTTACTATTTATATTTATATTAATACATGAAACAAATTGTCCCACCCTCTATCAGGACATGCAGATCTGCGCTAACGAACTCAAGACGGTCATGAAGAACGTGCTCTCTAAACGTGAGTACACTGGTTGATTTGAGTCATTATTATGCATTGTGTGTCATGTGATCAATCATACCGAGCCTTCCTTTCTACAGATAATGACATAAAGACAGAGGGTTTCAGCCTTGAGACATGTCGGAGTATGATCGCCTTGATGGATGTATCCTTTCAGCTGAAACCACCAGAGTTTATACAGAGCTCACAACAGATAAGGTGGTTATTTATTGGTTTGAACTCCTCTAGTTATTGAACATCCTCAGTTACTCCGTTGAGCCACCCAGTGGTAGAACATGGAAACTATGTTACCTGTATACTCTAGTATAGCAAAGTCAAAGAAGTAACACATCATTTATCAGTAGTAAAAATAATGTTATAATATTAACATTCACATCTGTAAATCAGCATTCATTGTCATCTATTTTGTGTAGGTCTATTCATTCTGTTTAAACACAACATTTCTGCACAGTTACATTTCAAGATGATAGGCTTCACTAAAATTATAATATTGTTTCTGACTTAAATTAACAACTTTTCCAGAGTTTTCAAAGCAATTCAGGCGTTTTATCTAAATATTTTTTGCTTAAATCCATATCTTTTGGCAGTCAAAAAAAAAAGTCTGCTTTTCTGCTTGCAACACACAAAGGGAGGCATGTGCCTGTTTTTAAAAGGGTGGTATATTCAAATTGAGGATATGGTTTATAGGCCAATATTAATATGAATTTGATAAGTTAAATAGAATGTTGAGTGTAAAAAATACACACTTTTCAGCCCTATTTTATCTCTACGATCTAAAATCGTCCTTACTGGCTCCGTTGGTTTTCCATAACCGACCTCTCTCAGACTGATGGTACGGGGAAGCTGAACCTGCAGGAGTTCAAACACTTGTGGAAAAAGATCAAGGAGTGGCAGGTGGGACCGTTTTTAATCTTTCTATATCTTCTGCTTATTTCAAAACAAACAACTGACTGTCCGTCTCCTCGTGTGTCTCCAGCTGATCTTCAGAAAATACGATAAAGACAAATCTTGCTCCATCAGTAGTTTTGAGATGAGGAACGCTGTTAATGATGCAGGTGAGCACAGCTTCAAAAAAGAAATACTTTTTAACAATAAACAAATATATTTATTTAAGTATTAATTACTCACACAACATTTCTCTATGCATGTGTAAAGAAGTGCATTACCAACGGCAACTCACAAGATATCCCAATTCACTTAATTTCATGTCAGTTCATGGATTTCATCTTTCATGTTTCCCATTTTATTTAGGATTGTGATTCAGCTTTTCTATTATAAGCCTCAACAATGATTTAATATTCACTGGATTGGGTTGAAATGTGTACTGAACATCCAAGAAACCATAAGGATAATTGCAACATTTGTTTATTGAAAATTACAGATTTTATACTAGCTTATATTTAGGCTTTGAAAATAAAAAATATATAACTACATCAATTGTGCTCTCTAAATTAAAATGTAAATGTTGTAGACTACACTTCACATCTTTCAATTCATAACCAAATAAAATTGCAAGGATTCTATTTCTCTCAGCTTTTATCAGAAATAACATCCCATAATTGCCGTTCTCTTGAAAGAAACTGGAAATAAACTATCGACTAATCTGAGTGTCCCTCCCATGCAGGGTTCCACCTGAACAAACAGCTGTATGACATCATAGCCATGCGCTACGCGGACGAACACCTCAACATCGACTTCGACAGTTACATCTGCTGCTTCGTGAGACTAGAGGGCATGTTCAGTAAGTAACACCACATTCTCACCTTTCATTCATTTATTTCCTCTGAATATTTTTACACTTTAAAAAAATCTTTGCAGGGCCACATTTCAATTGTGTAAGCCGGTAACTGGAGCCTTGCATCACTGTACGTTTTATTAAGAGTTAAATAAAGACTGACTTGTTGCGTCTCTTGCAGGAGCTTTTAACGCCTTCGACAAAGACGGAGATGGAGTAATAAAGCTCAATGTGCTGGAGGTAAGTCTGTTTTAGTGTTCTTTACAACATGATATTCTGTGTCTTTTGCCATTTATACTGTATGTCGTCACGTACAGTTCTACAAACATGTTCTTTGAGAGTCATGCATGTGAGGAAGGGCATTCATGTTAGAACCGCCAGATTTTTATACCTAAAACCGCCACCGGGGTCAAATTGACCCAGCATTAGAATGCATTGATTTTCAAAGTAAAAGTATTGCTTTAAAAAGAAAAATTGTCCTGTGGTATTGATATTTTGACAACATAGGGTGCTACATAACACACTTTCAGGAAAAGTCACGGACTGGGAGACTATGTTATTGAAAAAAAGTTACATACAATAAAAAACAGCTCTGGGTCAAATTGACCCAGTTGGCGGTTCTAGTGTTAAAAGTAAGAGCGTAATAGTTTGACTGAATAACTTTTATCACAGTCTTTGATTGCACTATGAGGTACTTCTATGTTGGATTACATAACACTTACAAGGGTTTCTAAAATTCTGTCCATTTATTAAGAACAAACATTTCAGACTACTCCTCACTATAAGGTGCAATGACATACGACAATATACTACATCCACAAAATCGACCATGCATTACAAAACAGTTGAATGTGTCTTGGGTTTTTAGTCACAATGTGTGTGCTGTGAGTAACTATCAAAATGAAACCCCATTTAAGCTCATATTTGTTTCTATGTCTCTCTTTCCAGTGGCTTCAGCTGACCATGTATTCTTAAGTGACCTTCCCGAGCGCTGACACGTGGAGCTGATGTTCATGACTTCAGACTTCATCTCTTCTTGCACATACTTTTTGCGACATCTAAATCTTTTTCACAAATCAGATGTTTGATTGCGAATCATATCCGGATTTGATGTGGAATTTAGATTTCTCAGATCATTCAAACTATGATGGTGTAAATGTAAGGTCAATGTTATGTCACTTATGTTAATGTGTCAGCATCAATCATGTTTTGGGCAGTGACGTTGTTAAGAATATTTGGTTTGCAATGCTAAAACTTTGGGTATCATTGTTAAGTAATGTTTGAATATGAACCAAAATGTAACCTTTTGTATGACAGCATTTTTAGAGAATATATAATGTTTTCAAAAAAGCAGAGGAACATTTTCTAGATTATATTTTTTACTGCTGTACACATACAGTAGGTATGAAACACAAATCAAATACACACTGTACAGTGGACAGTATAACATAGAAAAATGAAGGCATGACTTTAAAACGGCTCTCTTAGAAGGTACTCTGGACAGTTTGGTCTTACAACTTTCACCTCCACTTCTTCCATTGCCAAAAACAAAGTTCTCAAACATATGAAGGGATACAGGGGACAAGTACGATGCCTACCGTTCATCTCTGAAATGTAACAATGTAAAAGTGATCAATATGTAATGAAGCATAAGACAACAGTCTGAGTCAGGAAGTCATTATGGAGAAATTATTACAGGAAAATACCTTCATATCAAATTGTATTATCGCTAATAAAGTAGGATCGGGTTGCTAAATATTAGCCCTAGGTTTCGGAGGTGTTTCAGCCAATGCAGCATAGTTGTAGAAATGCTTGTAAAATGTAGCTTTGTATTTACTAATGACATTTCTGTTTCTGAGAAAGGTAGCTTTATAAAAGTCATTAATTCACAGTTCATAAAAAAAAAAACATAAATAAAACCTTTTACACTCAAATAACTGATAATAAATGTAATCATTCAGGGATCAACGACAAGCGGACTGTCAACAGAGACCCCAGAGTACACACAAAACCAAAGAGATGTGAATAGTACTTTTATAGCTAGAGAACAGAAGACGACCTCCCATTTGAATTCAACAGAAAGATTTAACCCAAAACCCTGAAAAGAACTTTGAAACCAAGGGTTCAGTTAAGTACTATAACGCATGGGACTCCAACCGCATATGCTGAGTCTCTTCAGCTCCACCGCTGCTCCACTGCTGCTACACCTCACTGTCTTTCTCCACGTGGCTCTGCATGTGTTCTGGAAGCTTCTGCAGAGAAAATACAAGCAAGACAAAAAACGCCTCTTATACTGTTTTCTGTTCATATTATCACGATTCAGACTCTCACACATTACTCAGCTAATACTTCACTCACACAGAATTACACAGGGTCGGTGCGTTACCTCTCTAACAGCCTGCTGTGTGCCAAAAAACGAGCTGCAGCCTCTCCAGCGACACTTGATCGCCTGCAGGTTTGGGTTGCTGTGATCTCTGAGGAGGTGCTCAGAGAGATGCTCCGCCATGCCGAAGATCAGAGTGCAGTTACACCACTGAACAGAGGGCAAAGGTCACAGAGACACATGTTAAGATGCATTTAGAAATGGTATATTCATTCAATATCTTGTGGAATATGTCTCTTGGAATTGGATCAGAGTAAAGGCACTGATTACGTTATGTTTCATCCGACTTAAAATCTCTGAATGCTTTATGCACAATGAGTTTGAGTCGTTACCCAGCAGCGGTAGTTCTTCATCAAGTTGAGCTTCACAGCTTGGATGGAGCCATCATAACAGCCCGTGTAGATCTGAGTGGGACAAACAATGTCAGATATTTCAACAGTATCATGAATCAACCTCTGTCATGCAAGTAAGGATTCAAAATGATGGCTGGGCAAGTTCAATTCCACGTACCACACTCTTATGTACGGCCATGCACATCACCATGTCACTGTGACCCCCGTACACCTGCAGGCGGTCATGGGACTGTGAAGACACAAATACAGAAGTTAATCTAATAATATATAGTTATTCACCTGAAACATAAGGAAACAGATGAATAATTAAGATTAAAAAAAAAACTCGATTTAAAAAAAAAAGGTTTTTCAAATAGGGACTGGTTTTCCTTAATTTGTGAATGGTACAAATGAAAGCTATAAACAGTCTAATTGTAATTTGTAAAGGAGACAAAGCTTGTTTTGAGTATTATGCAAGGATGGAGAAGCAAAAGAAAGACTTATACAAATGGTCTTCTTTTGAACTGAGGTCTGAAGTTAAAAAATCTAATACTTTAGTTTTCGATTAACTTTTAAAAACACTTGCCACTTATTAAAAAAATCTAAACATTATTGTAAACTTGAGCTGTGAATACTCTACCTGCAGCTCATAAATTCGGACCATCTTATCCAGAGAGGCTGTCACCATCACTTTCCCCAGGATGACTATCGATGTGACGGCATGATTGTGACCTTTGTAGATTCGGACCAACTCACCCGTCTGCAAATAAAGATGGACAATAAAAATAACGTTGACAGTGAATGAATGAAGTTAAACAGAAACGACCTTTAACGCAAACCCAGGGAGTCACTGTGCTTAAAGTAAAAGGTTAATGTTTCAAGATTAAGAAAGCAACTAAACTAAAGCATGTTTTATATTTTTGTCTCAGTAACTTCCAAGACTCATGACATTTTCTGTTTATTAGATTTCTGTTGTTAAAACGCATCAAAACGTAGTGCAAGCGCCCGACCTTTTCGTATTCATAGATAGTTAAACTCATGGAAATATATTTGACACTCACATGGATGTTGTGAGCATGAACCGATGTGTCAGTGGAGCCGCTAAAGACCAGGTCGTTCACCACCTGAAAACAACAAGTAAATCAGAATTTCCTCTGCAAACAAATTTCAAATCATTTAGTGTCCTTATCCAAACAAAGATCATCATCATGTTAATATACTTTCACTTTTAATACTAAAAAACCTGGCTGCTATTACACTATTTAATACATGCTAGACTTATTGTTTTTAAATACTGGTACTCAGGGACGTGCACAGACATTTGGAGGGGCTATTGCTCTAAACTGGAAAAAGGGCCCGCCCCCAAAAAAACATACAACCTTTTGAAAATTCTAACTTGTTTTTAATGTAAAAGGTTTATAAAATAAAACACTCATTGCAAGTGACTCTCAGTTTACTTTTATGTCCAACTGCTAAATTCGTCATTACTTGATTTTAAAAATGAAAACCAGGGACATGTTTTGTTTTGCGGTCCATATCTCATTAACATATCTCATGTTAGTTACTATTAAAGACAAAACGGGGACAATTCTGTTCTAATGTAGTTTCCATTGTAACTGCTGTGCAGACATACTGATAAAATAGGGCTTCCAACTAATTACTTTAAATAAACTCACTAATGAATGAAACCAGTTCAATACACATTATTCTTATCATTCTTTATGAGCGCAGTGACGGTAAGTTATCTAATTACTTATTTATTTAGTATTCCATAACTTAATAACAGAGATGGTCAAACTAAAGTGGTAGAGACGTAGCAGAAATCCTACAATGAAGCGGGACAGTGTGAAGTGTTCTCCGTGAGAGGGCGATCAAGAAAAGAGAGAGAGAGCGGCCCCGTTGAGGGAGTTTACGGAGCAGGGTAAAAGACACAGAAAGACAGAAGCACAAAAACAAGTATAATTGTTGCGAGACGCTACAATACTAATTGTGGGCTTATCGTGTTGATTCGGCCACAATAGAAAAAAAACAAAACTCTCGCTCTCTCCGGAGGGGCAGGTCAGACAAAAATGGCAAACGGGCTGTTGCCCGGGCAACAATAGCCATTACCTGTGCACGTCCCTGCTGGTACTGGATGTGTAATTGTGCATGCTTCTTAGTTAATATTAAGCCGTTTTTGGGCTCTTTACTTTTGGCTGTAACAATGTAAATGTCCCCTTTGTGGGACGAATAAAGGTGTTCTGATTTTAAACAGTGTCCAGGCGTAGGCGTGTCTCCCAGTCCTCACCTTCATGCAGAGGACAGTTTTGGTGTGGCCGTCCAGCGTGCGCAGCAGCAGGCCGTTCTTGGCGTCCCGCACGCTGATGGTGCTGTCGTAGGAGCCGACCAGCAGCACCCGGCGGGCGCCTTCCTGAGCCGTGCCCAGACAGCTGACCCCGCGCGGGCCGTGGCAGTCAAACACATCCAAGTTCTTCAGAGTCTACGAGAGAGTTCAGGAGGAGGTTTAAGAAAGATATAGAGATCATGTTTATTGTTTTTTAAATCCACTGTAAGAACATTGCTCTGGCAGAGAAAGGAGAAAGCAAGACTTGTGCAATACAGTCTACAATACTGTAAAATGAGTGGCTGCATATACAGATAAGAAAAGCTTTTCTACACAAGTGAAAAACATAATCTGACTGAACCAAACCCAATATCAAATCAAAGTTTATTTATATAGCCCAAAATCACTAAATACGTTCTTCTCAGTGGGCTTTACAGTTGAACAAACATAGAGGACAGTGTCACTCACCTTTAAGTCAAAGCTAGCCACTGATCCACTAGCGAGTCCAGCATACAGGATGTTGGAGGTAGAGTGCAAACACAGCACTCTGTCTGACAGCGTGATCTGCTCCAGACACCGTGTGGTCTAGAGACAAGAGGAATAAAATGCATCAACAAAAAATAAAACGTTCAAAATGCAAACCCGACAACAGGAGGCAGAACTTTAGATTAGCAATTCAACGATTCAATTATAACTAGCTCTGCCAGTAAAGACTATATTTTTTGGACAAAACGATGGATTTTACCCTGTCTAACAAGGGTGGAAAAGTCAAATACGAAATACAGGGGGTCATGTGTATCACAATATCAGTTGTCCAGGCATTTCGTACCTTTATGCTGAAGCAGCGGATGGTCTGGTCACTGGATCCGGTGTAGAGACGAGCCAGAGTGTTAGGGGAGGACGACACCAGCAGACAGTTGACCTTGTTGGTGTGACCTTCAAACACTGCTTGGCACTCCTTAGTCTGGATACACAGGGACAACATGATATCTTATATTTTAAAACGAACACTCTGCATGAAAGAGAGGGGTTTTAGTTTGATCACATTTGCTTATTCTCAGGGGAGGGATACACTAGTCAGCAGAGGCACACTTGGGCAAAAGTGAGAAGACATTTTGGATCCTGATGAACGTACCATGAGACAGTAGGCCCGCGCTGTGTTGTCCCCTGAACACGTGTACAAGCGGCCGTCGTGAACATTGAGGCCGTGGACGGGGCCGGTGTGGTTAGAAAAAACTCCAACTGATGGCTCCTGATCCTCGGACACTTCAATGCACTCTGGGGGGAAAAAAGTAATGAGGTCTTTGCTTTTCATCCGAAACATCTTCTGGGAAACCTTATGTAAGCAGGAGAAAAAGACTCACCTGAAGGAATCTTTACATCTTCAACTTTAAGTGTAGGCTGACATTTTCTGAGTCGCAAAAAAGAGAAAGAAAGGTCACATTTACCGGAATAGTACTGCTTGTAATGTTTAGGATCTTGCATTAAACACTATCTCACCTCTCAACTTCATTTTGCGGGATCGTCTGTGTGCCTGAACAGCTGACCTCCACACTGACAGAGCTCTGAGGAGGCTCCGGCTGGACGGGAACATTCTGTACTTCCTCACAGTCCGATTCATCGATATTAATGACCACCGAGACGGGGGACTCAATGAGTTTGAGAGAGGTGTCGCTCTCGTTCCCTCCATCGTTGTCTACTACAACGGATGTATTTAGATCTTCTTTTGGTACAGGAGTGGAGACGGGCTTTTCTGCTTCTGGCTGTTTTTCTTGAATAGGTTCGATGCAAACAACATCTCCAATCTCTTCCACACAGTCATTGTCATCTACCTTTTTTTCTTCGTCTTGTCTCACTGACCTCACGCTCTCCTGCCTGAGAGATGATTTCGGAAAATGATTTGTATTTTCTGATGTAGAGCACTCTGTTGCAGGTTGTTTGAAAGAGGGGACAGCCATTGGAGGAGAAGCTGAGTGTGGAGGGAGGAAATCAGAAGGTAACAAGGAGACGGGAGACTTCACAGGAACCTGATGTGTGTCAGAGATACAGGAGACAATTTGAATGGCTTGTCCAGAGGTGGATGGCTGGGAAATGTCTTGCATTACTGGTATGGTTGGGAGGGCGAGCGGGCTAATGGAAGCGGGTGTGTTTGTTGGCGATGGTTGCCGGATCGGGGGGGCGGAGGGGGAGCAGGGGAAGAAACTGGAGGAAGGCAGAGGGGAGAGTCTTGGTTGCACAGTGGGAGAAGGGGCTGCAGGTAAAAGGGGGGATTTCTCTACGTCAGATGCTGCTTTGTGTATTTCTAGAAGAGATTTAGAGAAAAAAAACAAAGTAATGTATTAAAGACAAATTCCATTTTGATTCAGACAATTAATGAAACAGAAAATCAAACTAAATTAGTAGAAACAGGGGGGCAGAGAACATTAAAGAAAATAAATAACCCTCCCTTTAGTCATCCAGTTTCAGAATTTTGGTCAGGGACCCAAATATTACGGCCATGTTGATAAATACACTAAATTATAAATATATATATACAAATATATACGTACTGTATATATTCACACATACATATATAATATTTTTTTTAAGGTAAACCAAAAAGCAATGACAAGCAAAAACAAAGATGTAATGTACCTTTCATCCCTTGCAGGATTTCAATGCGCTGGGCTCTGAGATGGTTGACCTCAAGAGTGAACTGTAATAGCAGGAAGGAAGAAAAATGTCATGTTAACCATGAAAATACACCATTGGAAAAGATTTTAAAAAATCTGTGTCTTCATTAGCGTGGTACCTGCTGCCTCAGTAGCAGGAGTCTCTGGACTTCAGCGTAGGCGGCCTGTAGGGTGTTGCGGGCTTGGATCAGAGACACGTCGAAATTCTGCAACGAGTGGCTCAGCTCGTCCTCCCTCAGAGACACAGCCAGCAGCTGGTCCATCTGGCCCTGCTCTGATAGGCAGGAAACATACAGAAAAATATACTCGGAGATTTATGGGATGACTAACCGATGACATGACTGGGATTAAAACAACGTCAATCCGAATAAATAAGAGGCTTCAGAGTTTAGAACTAGTTCATTTCTCTTCCGTTTCTGGTTTGAACTGCATTATGTACATTCCCTTGAGCCGTCTCTTCATACAAAACATGTTATTTAAATAAACTTATCTTCTTATATACGCTGTTTCCAAGTAGCCTTGTTATGTGACCTGTGTATATTTACACTCCTACAATGAAACGATAAAGACTCAAAATGCCAAAAATTAGAGATGTCCCGATCCGATTACGTGATCGGGGATCGGAGCCGATCACGTGATTTTCAAAAGATCGGAATCGGGAGGAAAAAAATCGGGGATCGGGATTTTTATTTTTTTTTTTTAAATACTTTTTTTAAAATTTTGTATTCAATGTTACAAAACAAAAATGACCATGTTCAAGTCTTAAAGTCATCCTGAGGCCTTAGTTTTGGTTTCAAATTACACAACATCATGTATGTGTTGCTTCTTTGGGGCTTGTTTTCATAGACCTGCTTATTTCTCTCAAATCTGGCAACAGAGTGGGCAGGGCGCAGTGTCTAATTGTAGCAGTAAGCTAACGAGTACTTTTTTTATTTTTTTTATTTTTTATTTTTGATCCAATGCTGCTGTGAAAGAAAGAAGCTATATCCATGTTGGATAGAATATCCAATTTAAATAAAAAAATAACCTTAAGGGACAACTTGAAAGCTTTTTTTATTTTTTTTCTCTTAATGCATTGCATAAAGATCGGATCGGGAAAAATCGGTATCGGCAAATTGTCAAAATCAAATGTTCGGAATCGGATCGGGACATCCCTAGCTAGGAATGTTTAATCAAGAAAAGTTAAGATTATATCTACAATTCAAGAGTGTGATAACACATATTTTGATAAAATTAAGTCTTTCTATTTACAAATGAGTCTTTTTTTCAAACTACCAATTAATATGCAGATTTTCTTTCAGGATTAATCAATTGTTTATTTAAAGAATCTCATATATTACTGAAAAATGCCCAAAACGATCTCCTAAATTCCTCAACCAGCTTGTTTTGTCTGCCTAATTAACCCATAAGAATACACTAAATACTACATATAAACTAGAACCATTGATTGTACAGTATGGGGCTGAGCATGGTGTGAATGTGGGACGTTTTAACAGTGTGGCCCTTTGTCTCTTACATTCTTGGAGGAGAGGAACTCCATGCCTTTGGCCACCTGGAAGGCGAAGCTGAGCAGGTCGTCGAAGGTCAGCGTCTGCGAGTCCTCCGTCAGATCGTCCGGGTCTTCGTAAATCAAAGGTTCTGCAGAGAACCCGGCATGAGTTAGTGTCAGTGAAAAACTCAGAAGGATCTGCTACTCTGTGCACGAAAAACTGAACGTGATCTGACATGCAGGAGGTACTTTATCACCTTCTATGCTGTTGTTGAGGTTGATGGGGAGCAGGGCGATGTCCTCCTGCCCTCCGGTGGTAAAGCGGTGCATGGGCATGTAATGATCCGCTGCTTTGTCTACCTCACTGAAAAAAACACAAAGGTGAACTGAAGTCAATTTCTAGATATGCCTTCACTTATATAGAGTCTTGTCTTTATGATTGATCCACCCTTTGTTGCCCTTTTCGCCAAATGATTCCCAATATTCCTCCTCCTACCCCGTGTTTCCCCACCTAGAGCTTTTGTTGGGCTGCAGGTTGTGGTAAATGCTGCTGAATCGGTCCTTGGTGAAAGCGTCGGTGACAGACTTGTGGTAGAGCTCTCTGTTTGTCTTAAGGTAGTTCAGAAGATCTCCATAACAGCAGTACTGGAAAATCAGGTACGTGGGTCCTGCATGAGGGAAACAAATACAACATTTGGGGAAAGAATATTAGTGATGCATGAACACATTTCTTGTTCCTGTGTGTTATTAGCTTACAATTACCACCAACTGTACCTGAGTCTGTGCATGCCCCCAACAGGTTAACAATGTTTGCGTGGTGACCGATGTGAGTCAGCATCTTCAGCTCGGACATCAGGGCCTCTTTCTCCACAGTCTGGTGTTTCTCTGCAGTGTCAAATATCACAACAGCTGCTGAAATGACCTTCATAGCATGTTTGCATTTCCTCCACGGACTAAATAAATGAAACGCTGACCTTTAAGCATCTTGACGGCCACCTGCTGCGAGACTCCAGCCTTGTTGATGCCGTAAGCCGTAGCTTGGACCACCGTGCCAAAAGCCCCAGAGCCCAGTTCTGGACCTGCGGAGGACACAAGGACACAAAGACACTCAGCACACATCCAAATAGGCAGGTGAGATTTTAGGGGAGTTAACTTTTATAGGTACTTGTACCTCTTTTCTACATTTAAGAGCAAAGCATTTATTTTAAACTTGACTGAACTTATTTTTTTCAAACTGCTGCAGCACCTCTTTTCACCCTCTGTCTGAAACCAGAGCCCAGTCTGCTCTGATCGGTAAGCTGGCCGGCTCTGTTGTGATTGGTCAACCGCTTAGAGATGAACCGCCCCTTAGCCTATCACGTGCAATGTGTCCGAGTATAGCCAATAGAAGCGCGATTGCTACATCGTGAACGCAGGGCATTTACTGTAAGGGATTTGTTACATGATTGGATCAGTACTTTTACTCAAGTAAAGGATGTGTTTAGTTCTTCCACCTCTGAAGTCTGGTATCGTGTTTGGGGGTGTAGTTCACTTCATACCCAGTTCCAGGTTCTCCCGGGGGAACTCCCATTGCTTGTCGTAACCAAAGTCTCAAAGGGCCGGTTGTAACTATATAAATGTATTATATTACATTATTGCCTCTGAATTTGATTATTATCGGATAGGATAATAACTTAGTAATTAACTACGTCTGAAAGCAGAAGTCCAGGGCAAATAATTGCAAGTCTCTTCAGCAAACATGTCACAAAACAAGATGCATTGTGGGACATGTCGTTTTTTTTAGGCTAGAGTCTAAAGAAAAAGGAGGCTAAGCTAGAAAACTTTAGTGCACTAGCCGAGGCTAGGGGGCGACGTGCACTAGCCTAGCCCTGTATGAGATAAGATTCGATAACATAGAGTTTGACCAGTCCAGGCAAACTTGTGTAAAAATACCATAATATTTTCTATTGACAAAATTGGAGCGTAAAGTCCCACGTTCATTTACTAAAGTTCCTATGTTTTACACATTTACAGTATGACGCGTGTGACTCCGAACCACAAACACCCAATACACAACTGAGACTACCAGCAGACAGACGCACGTCAGGTAGCAGCTGACCAGTCGTAGCATTGCACAACCATGCTTCCCCGTCGTACCTCTTCCTAGCCGCTGCAAGCCTGACGAGCCCTGTACGCTGTGGCTGAGTTACGATGCAGCACTCTCCTTTACATGCAGTCTGTAAATCTAATTTAGTAAGTAACCAACATGAAACAAAATTAGAAAGTGTGTAAATGTACCCCTGCACCGAAACGTCCACGCAAACGCGGTCACTTCACCTACCGTCCGGTCTCTCGTGAACGGTCCCGTAGATGTCGTACTCCGTCACTCGCAGACCCGATACCGTGTAAAAAAAAAAAAAAGACCGAGACCCTCTAGAAGAGTGAACCCATGTAGGAGATCGGTCGAAAAATGTACTCCACGTTGTAACTTTTCTGTCGTGTATTAGTTTGAGACTAGGACACACTGAGAGTCCGCAGATGAGGCATGCGGCCCGTAGGCTCCACCTGGTGCGCAAGATTAATTAACTACGCTCTCTCCTTAAATGCTAGCCTCACAGGAAATGATGCGCGTTGCTCAGCACACTGCCAGTGACTGCCGTACGTGCCGGAACATAAAGTATTAATCGTTGTCCGTCTTATGGAGATCTGGTCCCCACAGTTGGTGTTCCGGCCCCCGTTTAGGCTTCGCGCTTGAAGTAAAATGACGCCCGGCGCGTTCTCGAACGTTCTTATATGTACTGCAAGATAATAGCCACTGCTACGTCGAAATGTTTCGT